AATAGTTCTAATCATTTATATTTCTGGGTTTAATCAATCAGTATATTTTATGCATCTAATTCAAGCTTAAATAATCATCTAGAAGTTCACATACAATATCAAATGTCAAAATTTAATTGAAAGTGTGTTTAATTGATTCATGACGAAGTTTCAAATAACTAAAGTATTCATATGTAGATAGTCTGTATGAGAGACTATTAGCTCACATATTTGTTTCACATAATCTGGGGGTAATTCGTAGTAGCCATCCCTGAATGGAACGTCAGTGCCACCTATAGTGGACTTGGCAAATAGATGTTTACATCAATCATTACTGCGGTCTGTTGAACTTATCTCGCTGTAGTGAATTGATGGATAAATGACTTAGAAAATTTAATGTCACTTTTCGTTGAAGAATTCATATGGCAAATACAATCTTTTAAACGCTAATGAGGAGCTCCCCCAACCCGCCACAATGTTGAGGTATTTTGAGTTTTCACCTCGAAATACCCACACCCGCACCGCCAGCAATCCATCATTATTCCTGAGGATTCTATTCTATTTGGATTTCCAGCATCAATCAAAAGTGCCTGGCAGAACCTTTTTCCGGGTCCTCCTGAGTATCTGAGTGGCGCCAAGACATCTACATAGGTCTGTTAAATCCGAAGTAGCCGTCGCCTCAGCCAACCAGCATCCTATAAAATTGCCTTTCAATGAGTAATACTATCCGAGACCTGCCTGCATCCAAGCACAACGATTATCGACTTTTTCAAACGTTGAAATTCTCCAAATCGCCTGGTTCAAGGCGTATATCAATGAGCGCCGCAGAAAATTGGCCTTGGACTCGCCACAATATAGACGGAAAGAGTTTGCACCAAGAGATAATGAGTTAAGATCGACTGCGATATAATTTATAGATTTAATCCATTTAATATACACTTGTGACGTATGCACGTTCGATCCAGTTCCTTATGGCTGAAGCAACCATAAATTCAAGAACAAATAGTTTCCGATTGGAGAAGAATTTCATAAGGCCTTCCGAATCGTTGCATTAAATCTCGATAATCATACAGAGCATTTAAAGTTTTCGTTTTAACTTAGGAATCATTTAGAAAACCTTTTTTATCAAAAGCTAAGACGAAAAGTCGCTCATAATTAACCTATTGTAATCATCTCAACAAGAATTATGAAAGGGACATCATAAAAAAGTTCTGATATAATATCCTGAATCATGTTATCATACAGTAACTACAGCAGTTTTTCATTTTTCGAATTTTATCGAGAAGTGTTTGAAGATATAAATAAATATAAATATTCATAAGAAAACTTTTGAGAACACTCACTAAAAATTTGTTCAATGTAGTATTCGTATGTAGCCATTTCCCTTCTATGGCATCTTCATTCGTGCCGGCATGTGGACTTTGGCCATAGGATGTTATGCATCAATCAATCAATCTATGCCGTGAATTATAACGCTGTAATGATTTGAATTGGATTGATTGAATTAGAAAATTTATGTCACTTTTTTGTCGAGGAACTCAAAAGTAGCGATACAACTTTAAATAACTCAGCTGAATGAAGAGCTCCTCAAGCGCGTAGTTAATTGGGTTAATTCGAGGGTTCATCTCCAAAATACAGCAACCGCCATTGTCGCGTAATTTCACGATAGTTTCCTATCTATTTGGGATTTCAGCTCAAACCAAAAAGTGCAGTAAACCTTTCCCAGGGCTTGCACGAATGTCGTGTAGTTAGCGGCAAGACAATCTCAGATGAGCTATGTGATCGCAAACAGCCCACACGCACACTGCGCAGCAGCAACGAGTTTATTCGACTTTTTCAAACCGTTGAATCTCATAAAATCGGCCTGGGTTCAAGACGGATGACTTGATGATCCGCCACAGAAAATTGGCCTGGACATCCGGCCGCGATAAGAATGGATTGTTTTTGTCACACAGTAATATGATATTGAGATCCACATGATGATATAAATATTATAGTTCTAAATTTAGATATATCTCCTCACGTAAGCTCCGGTTAGCTGATTGCCATCCACGTAGATACGGTCCCATAAATCAAACGAAATATTTTCTCTGGCCGAAAGAAATTTCATAAGCTCTGGTTAAATGTGTTTGCATTAATCTCGATAGGATCATAGTAGAAAAGTAAATTTTTCGTTTGAACCGTAATCTATATTTTAAAACTACTTTTCTTTGTCAGAATCAATATATGAAAAGTGTACAAATGAAATTGAACTTAATTGGCTCTTGGAAATATTGAGTAAGTATTGCCAATTAAGGAATAAGTGACTATATAAATCTGAACAAGGGAAATTGAAAGGCTCAATAATAGTTCTAACATTTATTCTGTTTAATCACAAGTCAATATATTTTATGCATCTAATTCTAAGAGCGTTAAATTAATCATGTATAATTTCAATATCAAATATTCAAATGTAAAATTTATTGAAAGTGGTTGTTTTATGATTCAATTTGAAAGAAGATATAAGAGGATAACTAAAGAGTATCATAGATGAAGTTTTGAGAAAACTCCATAATGTTTGTTTCAAATTGGGGTAATTCGTATTAAGCCATTCCTGAATGGCCAACCTCAGTGCACCATGTGGAATTGGCATAGATGTTTTATCCATAATTATTACTGCGGCGTTCGTGGAAGTACTAACCGCCTTGAGTGAATTGAATGGATCAAATGAATTAGAAAATTAATGTCTTTTGTGAAGAAATCAGATATGGAACATACTGATCTTTATAACCGCTAATGGAAGGAGCTTCCCCTTCGCCGCCACAATTTGAGGTATTTCGGGTTTCCACTCGAAATACCTCACCAAGCCAGATTCCCATACATTATCTCCTGCGGAGTTCTATTCATTTGGATTTCGCTTCCAATCAAAAGTGCCGGGGCAGAACCTTTTCCGGGTGTCCTCCTGAGTATCTGAGTGGCGCCAAGACATGCTATATGTGTTTAAATCAAAGTAGCGTCGCTCCAGCACACACCAGGCATGCTAATAAAATGCATTCCAATTGAGTGGTAAATCCTGAGACTCTGCATACAGCAGCAAGATTAATTCGACTTTTTTCACTACGTTGAAATCTCCAAATTGCCTGGTAAGGGCGATATCGATGATCCGCCGCCAAAAAATTGGCCTGGACCTCCCGCACCATAAGAATGAAGAGTTCATCCAGAAAATATTAGGATCGACATTAGAGAATTGATTTTATAGATTTAATAAATTTAATATTACGTTGAGTTTGGACGTTGATGCTCAGTTCTATGCTAAGCACTGCCCATACTTCAAAACAAATATTCCGATTGGAGAAGAATTGCTAGGCTTGTCCGAATGCGTTGCATTAATCCTCGATAATCTACAGAGCATTAAATTTCGTTTATAACTTAGATAATTTAGAAACCTTCTTTTATTCAAACTACAGACGAAAAGTCTCAATAAATTAACCTTATGTAGTCATCTAACAGATTATTGAAAGGACTCATAACAAGTTCTGATATAGATATCCATGAATCATTTATCATCATTAAACTACAGACAGTATTCATTTTTCGAATTTATCGAAAGTGGTTGAGATAATAAATAATAAAAATATTCAATTAGAATACTTTTGAGAACAAATCACAAAGTTGTTTTAATGAGTAATTCGTATGTAGCATTTCCTTCATGGCCAGTTTTCGTGCCCGCTTGTGATTGCATATGATAGTTTTTGCATCATCATCAATCTATCGGTGAAGTTTATAACGGTTAATGAATGGAATGATCTCTCGATTGTGAAGTTAGAAATTTTATGTCACTTTTGCGGAGAACTCAAAATAGCGAATAGCATACCATTATTAACCGCTAATTGAAGGGCTTCCCCCACAACCGCCGTAGTAAATTGGTAGTTCGGAGTTTCCATCCAAAATATCCGGCACCGCATTTCCGTCATTTCACGAATAGTTCTAACTATTTGATTCTCCAAGCTCACAAACAAAAGGCAGCAAGACCTTTCCAGGTCTCACGATGTCTGAATTAGCGCCAAGACAATGCTCAGATGAGCTGATGAGATCCAAACGCCTCACACACCTGCACCAGAGCAACGATTATTCGACGATGACTTTTTCAAACCGTTGAATCTTCAGAATCGGGCCGTGGGTTCAAGACGGAGAGCGGATGATAGTGCGCCCACCAGAAATGGGGTGACCTGCGCCGCCCAAAGGATGGATAGTTTTTGCACCAGTAATAATAGTTGAGATCCGCATGAGGATTAAAGTTTTAAAAGGTTTCTCAAATTTAATATATCTCGTCACGTAAGCTCCGGTTTAGCTGCCAAGGTTCCAACCACCAGATAACGTCCCTATATTCAAAACAAATTTTTCCTGCCGAGAAGAAATTGTTCATAAGGTCTGAATGTGTTTGCATTAAATAACTTCGATAATCATATAGAAAAGTTAAATTTTCGTTGTTGAAACCTATTCTATATTTAAACTACTTTTGTCAGATCAATTTATTGAAAAGTGAGCAATATGAAATTAACTAATTGCCTCTGTGAAATAGTTGAGAAGTACTTCCAATTATAGAGATTAAAGTAAATATATTAATGAGAACAAAGAATGTTGAAAGGGGTGATCAATATAGTTCTAAAATATTTAATTCGTTTATTGCAATCAATATTATTATGCATCTAATTCAGCTAAATAATATCTATAGATCAATATCAAATATTTCCGAAGATTGTTCAAATTTTTGAAGTGTTTGTTTATAACTAAATTGTCAGAAAGTATAATAACTAAAGATATTCATGAGAATACTTTTGAGAACAACTCACATAATTTGTTTCAATGTGGTAAATTCCGGTATGAGCCATTCCCCTGGATGGCAAACTCAGTGCACTTTATGTGGGCTTGCATAGGATGTTTTTACATACTCATTACTGCGTCGGTGAATTATAACCGGCTGTAAGTGAATTGATGGATAAATTGAATTTAGATAATTTTAAGTACTTTCGTTGAATAATTCAGAATGGAAATACAATCTTGTATCCCGATAATGAAGGAGCGTCTCCTCCCGCCAAAGTGTTGAGGTATTTTTGGAGTTTCCAGCCTTCAGAAATACCCCAGTTAACCGGCAGCAGTTCCATCATTATCTCCTGAGTGATTCTATGCATTTGATTTCCAGCCTCCAGAACAAAAGTGGTAAGACTTTTTCCGGGTCTCCTGATATCGGTGGCGCCAAGACCATGGCTGATTGATGTGCCTGTTAAATCATGTAGCCCCGCCCCCAGCATCACCCATCCCATAAAATTGCATTATCCAATGAGGTAACCATCTGAGACGTCTTGCCCAGGCCGAACGGAGTTATTCGATACTTCAAACGTTTGAAATCTCAAAAGATTTCGACTGTGTTCAAGGCGTATATCAGATTTGATACGCCGCAGAAAATTGGGCCTGGACTGTCCGCACCATAAGACGGAAGAGTTGCACAGACATAATTGTATTTAAGATCCGGGACATTGAAGTATAATTTTATAGATTTATTAATTTAAATAACTTTTGACGTATGGCACCGGTGTCGAATTAGTTCCTCTGCCTGAGCTAACGCGTTCCATAATTCAATACAAATATTTCCGGATCGGAGAGATTTTCATAAGGCTCAGAATGCCGTGCATTAATTCCTCGATAATAACGAGAGTTAAATTTTCGTTTTAACTTAGATATCAATTTAGAAACTTTTTATCAAAAGCTTAAGTTACGAAAAAGTGGTACAATAAAAATTAACTTATTTGTATTCATTCGTCAACAGTATTATTGAAAGGACATCAATAACAATATTCTGATATAAATATCCATGAATCATGTTAATAATAAAACTACAGACAGTAATCTCATTTTTCTTCGAATTTATCGAAAGTGTTGAAGATATAAATAACTAAAGATATTCATAGAATACTTATTTGGAACAACTCACTAAAATGTTGTCAAATGGTGAGTAATTCGTATGTAGCCTTTTCCTTATGGCCAGTTTCGGTGCCGGCCATGTGATTTGCATGATTGGCCTCAATCATAAATCCATCGGTGATGTTATAACCGTGTAATGAAATGAGGATGATTGAAATTAGAAAATTTTATGTCTTTTGTCGAGAACTCAAAATAGCGATAGCAACCTTTATAACGCTTGAAGAAGCTCCCCCTCAACTGCCGTAGTATTGGTATTCGGAGTTTCCATCTCCAAAATATCGCCACCGCATTTCAGTCATTGTTTCAAACGATAGTTTCCTAATCTATTTGGATTTCGCAGCTTCAACCAAAAGTGCGCGCAAGACCTTTATCAGGTCCTCAAACGATGTCTGATTGGCGCAGACAATGCTGCGGATTGAGCTGTTGAAATCCAAACAGCCCATCACCACACCAGTGCACAGCAAGAACGATATTCGACTTTTTCAAACGGTTGGAAATCCTCAAATGCCTGGATTAATGACGGATGACGGATGATGCTGCCACAGAATAATTGGCTGGACATCCGCCGCAAGATGGGAATTTGTCACCAGTATAGATTAATTGAAGTTCCGGACATGCAGTAATAAATTTCATAGAGTTTCCTTCTCAATTTAATATATCCTTCACTGTTAAGTCCGATTAGCTGCAGTTCCACACAGATACGTCCCATAATTCAAACAAAATTATTTCTGGCGAAAGACCTTTCATAAGGCTCTTGGAATGTGTGCATAATACCGTCGTATAATCATATTAGAAAAGTTAAATTATTTCGTTTGAACCTATCTATATTTGAAAAGCTACTTTTTGTCAGAATAATTATGAAAGTTGACAAATGAACATACACTTAATGTGCTCTTGGAAATATTAGAGAGTACTTGCAATTATAAGATATAGTAACTATATAGAATTGAACAAGAATATGAAAGGCATACAATAATAGTTCTAAAATATTATTCTGTTTTATCAATCAATATATTTTTAATTCATCTCTCAATAGCTTAATAATCATCTTAAGTTTCACTACATCTTCCCAATGTCAAATTTATTGAAAGTGTTGTTAGTGATTCAATTTGAATTAATATGTATAAAAGAATAACTAAAGATATTGCATAGAATACTTTTGAGGATCCACTCACATAATTTGTTCATAGAATTTGGGTAATTCTTAATGTAGCCATTCCTGAATGGCCAACCTCAGTGACACCTATTGGAACTTGGCAAGATGTTTTCCACAATCATTACTTCGGCGTCTGTGAATTATAACGCTGTAGTGAATTGATGGATAAATAAATTAGAAATATTAATGTCATGTTTTCGTGAAGAATTCGATTATGGGAATACAATCTTTATAACCGCTAATGAAGGAGCTTTCGCCTCAACTGCACATTGTTGGAGGTATTTCGGAGTTTCCTCGAATACCCATTCCACAACCGCCAGCATTCCCATCATTAATCTCCTGAGATTTCGTATTCTATTTGAGTTACCAGCTCCAAATCCAAAAGTGGCGGCAAGAACTTTCCGGTTCTCCTGATATTTGAGTGCGCCAAGACCCTGCTATTATGTGCTGTTAAATCCAAGTACGGCCGCCCACACCATGAGCATTCCCGTCATAAATATGCATTTCGAAAATGGAAGTAACCATCCTAGACACTGCGACCACAGCAACGATTACGACTTTTCCACCGTTAAATCCCAAAATTCGTCCGTGGTCAAGGCGTATTAACAATGATCGCCGGCCAGAAAGATTGGCCTGGACTCCGCCACATAAGACGGAAGAGTTTGCGCACAGAATATATATAGGATCCGAAATGAAGAATATAATTAAAGATTTATCAAATTTAAATACCTTTGAACGTATGCAACGTTCGATCCATGTTTCCTATGCCGTGAAGCACCCCAATTCAACCAAATATTTCCGGATTGGAGAAGAGAATTTCATAAGGCTCCGATGCGTTGCATTAATTCATCGATAATCATACAGACGCAGTTAAATTTTTTCGTTTAACTTAGAATCAATTTAGAACACCTTTTTTAATTCAAAAGCCTAAGAACGTTAAAAGTTGCTCAAGTAAAATTAACCTTAATTATGATTCTCAACCAGAATTATTTGATAAGGACATCTAATAACGAAAGTTTGGAACTACAAGAAATTTTTTGAACCAGATACCTGACGATTTAACACAGAAATTAGTAAATGGTGGACCATCAACTCCATTTGGAATTTGGTTTAGAGGTCTCAAACCAATATTTTATGATTTTTCTTGGATAATTCTATTGAATCTAACATTAATTATAAAGTGGGTAAACAATGCAAACATTCATTCCGGGAGATTTAGACGGAGTGGGTGTTCCAAATGGTTAGAGTCTGGCTATATGACATAAGTCTTTAGAATATGTTTATAGAGTTAATAGAGCATATTGTTAATATAATACTCTATGGACTGTTTATACGTCTAGAACCAAATAATCCAAACACTTTATTTGGTGGTAAGATGTATGGAACTAGTTGACAGTTTTTCCCTTCTACATCTAATTAGCAGTCAAGAGAATGGGAGGTCAAAGAAAATAGGTATTGAAACTTCCTTTCAATATGCATAGGTAGTGTAAGAACAATCTGTGGAAGGAATATATGTGCATTCCATTCAAAACAAAAAGAGGTTATCAAATTATTGCAGGCGGTCGGATAGAGCAGGGAATGCATAATATGATTTTCAACTGACCAAGTAGATCAAGCACAGGTAATCTTTTCTGTGGAACTGCAGGAAATATACAATGTTGTAGCTGGTATTACAGGACCAGCAGGTTAATGGAAAAAGATTATAAGTTGCTCCTTATATAACAATCGCAACTTGGATACGAGTTGGTTAAAATCTTTAACATTTACATAAATGAGTTGAAGAAGTATTCGAGACAACCATCCATGGAGGGTCATTTAAGAAATTCCCAATGAAAGCTGCAAAAGTTTGGGATTTACTGAAGACTGAAGTAAAGTTTTTGACAAAATGTTTGTACTCAAACAAAAATAACGCTTACGACTACTTTTAACAATCTTACTCCAACCACTCCTGAACGCATACATTTGAATCTCATTCAAGCAGAAAATTGTGCATAAACATGTCCTCATGCTTCATTAATGTTAACAGCTCGTGACGCATATGCATATTCCATTGAAAAATAAAGGAACTCGTGAAGTTTAAGAGTTTTTTACAAAAGTTTGGTAGCAGAAACATAGCCAAGTAAACTTTAACATAGACCAAACAGTGCATACCTAAGCAATGAAATCAGATTTTCTCAATTAAGCATAATCAAACTCCTACAGCTATGAAGACCATAAAGCCTAACTATAACTTCGTATCTAATTTAACGCGCTTCATAAGGACTCTCAGAGATTTAATCAGGGAGACTTACGAGAAACAATGTAACATTTCATCGACGTTTAACAATTCCTCAAGCACATTTCTAAAACAGGACATCACAAATTCAAATGACACAACAAAAGAAGAAAAGTATATCAAAAGAAAAGAAGCCAAACACAAAATATCAGAATTAGTACACATTTACTCATTCTGGTAAAAAGTCGTGTAATTCTTGAACGACAACCATTGAGCGAGAAAGGTTTAGGTTAAGTCGAAATTATTAAATATCGTTAGACTCTAGGCAGGTAATGGATACTTATAAAAGCTGCTGAAGACAAAGCATTTTACCCTCGACATAAATTAGTGAAAGTAGTAATTGGAAACTTGCTGAAACCACTTGACGAAGCAAAGCGAGGAGTGGTTATTGAATAACTTGATATAACAACGATGAACTTATAAAAAGTGAGATATGATAGGAGCGTTGAAGATGCTTATATTACATCTAGAGAACTTTGAGAGAATCTAAACACTCATCTGGGACCAATTTATGAGCGGGAGTATACTGGAAAAGATAAAAATCATCAAGAAGAATAAGGAAAATTTCCTCTAAACTTTTTTCGTTGGATTAAACTCAGACAAAAAATGATAATTTTAGGTGACAGAGGTGAGATGTCACTGTTTTGTTCTCAACTCTTTTTTCACTCTTGAATTTCATGAATTTTCACAAAAGAACCAAAAATAAGTTAGTTTTAATTTTTTTTATTTTTTAAATTTTGTATGTAAGATACAGAAATGTAGTCGAAGCAAAAAACATGTCACGAACAAATCTAAGTGGTGTAAAGATGCACAAAAGTGCACTTATAACGGTATGAATCTTACGTAGAGAGCAAGGGATGGTTTAATGAATGCAAAAAAGATGTGTAATTAAGAAAGATCTTAGAAGGTTGTTTGGAAAATAAGTCTGGGAAGAGTATTTGTAAGGCATTTGTGAAAGAAATATACCAACGAAAACAGCGGTTTGCTTTTTATAGCAATTCAATCGCAGGAATTCCGGATGAAAGTTTCAACAAGGTTAGAGGAATGTATGTAGACCAAATTTGTAAACTATATTTGCGGGTCATGTGGGCTTCTCCAAAATATTGTATATCGCAGTTGGAAAAATTAAATGAACATCCATAGACAAGAGTTCATGAGAAAGTTAGATGAATAGAGAACTCGGAAGATCAGTGGAGATGCCACTTTTGTATCGAAGAAGAGTTGGAAAAAATGTGTGAAAAACAATAGAACATAACGTGAGATATATTTGTGTATACAGATCTCCCGTACGACTTTTAGACGCAATGGGAAAAACGATTTAAAGAGAGAATTTAGAGAATATGAACTTGCTAAGATAGCATTTGAAGCTGCAGGAAAAGAAGTTAAAAGTTGGGGTCGGTTTGTACAACAATATCTTGGTGATAAAAATGAACCATTTATTTATGAATTCACGCAAAAAATATAATTTAGGTGAAGAGGTGACATTCACCTGTTTCTCACCTCTTTCTTCTCCCGTCCAACCTCATGAATTTCCCGAAATTAAATATAAAGTTTATCTTTTATTTTTTTTATTTTTTTAATTTTGTGATGTAACGGATTATGTTTAAACAATCGGCACAAAA